TACTTGGTCGGACTTGGGGAAAAATGGCTCTTTGGATATTAAAGGTTGCAGACCCCTGATCTAATGTGACATTAAATACATATAATTTTAGGAGATTTTCCAAATTCTCAAAATCATTTTAATAATACAGATGCAAGAAAAAAATAGTCTTTTAGAGCAGAAATTAAAAGTGTGGCAATAAGCAACTATGATAATACGCTACGGAAAAAAGGGGTTAATATACAGGAGTGAGCGGGAACAAAAGGGTGAGGTGGTGAGGTGGTTCTCCCCCAGTGACACTTTGTGTAAATTAAAGTGACATTTAGTGAAAATGGAAGGTAGACAACACAACAAAGAGTCCAACTAAGTTATTCATGATGAAATCAAAGCATAAAAGGACCTAAATACAGTAAAATAAACCAAATGAATCCTGGAAAACCAAAAAAGTTGAATCACACTGACATCTAGTGTAGAGGCTGGAGTTGCTCACCCTGTGGAGTGAGTGAGGGAAAAAACAAAAAACATCCCAGTTCTAAATGCCTTGCTCTGGCTCCCCGTATCTCAGAGAATAGACTTTAAAAATACTCCTGTTAGCCTCTAAATCACTGAATGGCTTCCCTCCAAAATACATTACTGACTGGTTGGCAGTGGATCAACAGCCAGACCTCTCTGGTCTACCGGACCAGATCAACTCTGCAGAACCAGAACCAAACATGGAGATTCCTCTTTAAGTTATTATGCTCCACCCATCTCAAATAAAGTCCCAGAAAACCTTAAAAACTCAGAATCCTTCAGTTGCTTTAAATCAAGATCGAAAACATATTTAAAGCGGCCTTTGACTATAAAATCTAAACATTATTAGTTTTTGGTCATATTCGTTTTTCCGTATCAATCATTTTATCGCAGTTATATTAAACCTAATCTATGCCAATGCAATGTCCTTTTCCTACTTTTTCTTTTTCAACATAGCGAATTTTTAATTGTCCTGCATTTATGGTTATTACATTGCAACAGGTTTATAAAGTTTTTTTTGCCGTTTAACAATATTGAACTTAATTCTGTTTTTTAATTAAGTTAATCTTTATTTATACTGCCACTATATTTAGATAGCGCCAATTCACAACACCTGTCATCTCAAGGCTTTTAACAGAGATAGTTAAACCAAATCATCCAGTCAAACTGTGTAAACCTTTTCTATGAAAGGAAATCCAGCTGATTGCATTTAGTCATTGACTTTGTAGAAATAGCTCCTCCAGGATTAGCTTGCAGATATTTGCCTGCATTTCGTTGTTGACTCTACAGCAATCCCTCATACCAAGTATACATGCAGTGACAGTGGAAAGGAAAAACTCCCTTTTAACAGGAGGAAACCTCCAGCGGAATCGGGCTCAGTGTGAGCGGCCATCTGCTGAGGCCGACTGGGGTTGAAGGAGCAAGAAACAGAGCCAAGGAGGCAAGATTTGAAGCTCTCCAAAAGCCCCGAGCAAAGTAACCAGGGTATGCATCCGGAAAATTATTTTGGTTTACGCGGTCTGTGTGATATAAAAAATCCTAAATAAACATGTTTTTATTTAAAGCTCCAGGTGCTTCATGTAGTAAAGTTACTGTTGGTAGATGATGATAAATAACAGACTTATGTTTAATACATCACATTTCTGTATTAAATCCCTGTAAATATTATACTCTGTGACTTTAATGATACATTTAATATTTAACTGTACACGTCATTGTCATATGGTACATTTAATTGTTCAATTATGTACTTAATAAATAAGTAAATAATAAATACATTTCATAGGACATTTATTTCACAGTACATTTAATGAAATTCAATTATTCAATGATGGACATTTAATATAATTTTTATGCAGTTTTACAGTATTTGTTTACGGTACATTTATTGATATATACATATTTAATGTTTAATGGCACAGTTATTAATTAAATTTTACATTTTATTCTTTTATGGTTAATTTCAGGGTACATTTTCATTTCATTATTAATTAATATATTAAATAAGTGTATATTTTTTAATATAATAGAACATATAAAGGAACATGTATTCATTTAATGGTGCATTTAATGACACAAATTATTTAATAATGTAATAAATCAGTCAGTTTAGTTGATTTTACAGTTCATTATTTCATGGTACATTCATTTATTTCACTCTACATTTAATTTAATCATGTATTTAATAAATTCATTTTAGTTTTTGTATGCAACATTTAACTACATTTAGTCATTTGATTTCACAATTTACCATTCAATTAGAT